TCTTTCTCCAGGTTTTACACTTCTCCTTGGTAGCCAGTATTTCTTCTCTTTTGGGGGATTTCATTACCTTTGTGGCTTTTGCACGTGGTGTTTGTTTTCTCTATAGTAGCAGCTGTCTGGAGCTCAGACCTCCAGATTTTTTGATTTATTCTAGTCTTTTGAGTAATATGTTCTCCACATGCTGCTTTTGAGGAGTAACAGCAGAGACGCTGGAAGGGAGGCTGTGATCCTGTGGCTCTGTGACACGCGACCTTTACGACTGTAGGTGTATTGTCACATCTTCTGTTTTCTTTGTAAAAGGGAAAATGTCTGTGGTGTTGCAGCTTGTTTTTACAAAATAATTAATCAAATAACCATGGTTCTCTTTGAGCCTTTAATTTATAATACCTCTGTTGCTCTGACACTCTGCTGCCTCTGACATTCCTAAATTATTACTGAACATCACACACATGAAATACCTTGTGTCTGTCTCACACATGCTGTTCTCTAAGACGACACCTATTACAACTGAAGAAAAAGCACATCTACAGGACTGTGCTTTCTCACAGAAACACAAATAGAGCTAACTCTATTAACAAAACTCTCCCATCTTATCGTAGGGGTGTATGATAAAAATGCAATGATGTGGAATTAATCTTAAAGCTTGGATAGTTGTCTCTGAGGACAGACTGTCTTACTGACAAGGCAATTGGATGCAATGAATTATAGCTAGAAAGAGTGAACTGCTGATTTTTAGCTGAGTGTCTGGTGGGCAGATGTCCCTATGATGAAAGCTGCTGAATGCTTTTCTAAAGAGCACACTGCTCTGGGATGAGACCTGCATTATGTTCCCTGTTTTTCTTTGGATGGGCTGTCTGACTTTAAACAGTGATCTTCACTTCTCTGCACCTGTTTCACGTGTTCTGATTATATTTCTGTATTATATGCTCTGATTATTTTATGTGCTGAAATATATAGGAATATCCTCAGTGCAGTATGCCTACATCTTGCTTGGAGCATATGGAAGCTATTACAGTTTTAATAATAACCGTTCTTCAGAGATAACCTTTATCTTTCTCTATCTCAATTTTCCTGTTTGTGAAATGGAAGTTAGAATACTTAATACTTTCTCATCGATTGAATTGTTGTCCGCCATATCCCCAGGTCCTTTTCTGCAGAGTTGCTCCTTAGCCAGCTGGTCTCCAGCCTGTACTTATGTGTGTGGTTATTCTACCACACGTGTAGGACTTTGTATTTATTGTTATTGATTTACATCAAACATTTCTATCAGTCCTTTGCTCCATCTTGTAAAGGTTTCTCTGAATGATAGCCCCATCCTTCCTCCAGTGCATCAACCATTCTCTGCAATTTGATGTCATCTACAAACTTGATGAGGGTCTATTTAGTTCCATCATCCAGGTCCAGCTTTGGAGGTACTGATGATGTGTTTTCTGGAAGAGCTATGTCATGTGAATTAATACACTTATCTTTTTTCTCTCCAGTCCTGATACCATCAAACTCCTGTATGTTCTCAGTAAGTCTTTGCTTTGCTGGATGAATACCATTGAATAATGCTTAGTTTTTACATGTATATATTTAGCCGTTGCACTGTTGTGCTTGTGACCTTATAATGCAAGTTGGGTTACAGACACATGATGTTCAGTCACCGCACAGAAGTACTTACGGCCTGTGGTTCAAGAGGAGAGGGAGCTGTGTGGGAGACGCTATCTCTGTTAGGAGTGCATTTGGGTAGGGAGGAATCTTCACTCTCCTGTGCTGAACCTTAAACTTCACTCAGTTATTGGAGAAAAAATGAACTAGACTGAGGCTGTAAGTGAAAGTGTTGATATCTTCTTGTCCTCTTGTTTAGGTACTATATCAGTGAACAGCAGACGCACCCCATTCACCGCTAGCGGGGAGAGTGAGATCCTGGATCTGGAAGGCGACATGTACCTTGGTGGGCTGCCTGAGAACCGGGCAGGACTCATCCTTCCCACAGAGCTCTGGACAGCAATGCTGAACTATGGCTATGTTGGCTGTATCCGAGACTTGTTCATTGATGGTAGAAGCAAGAACATCCGGCAGCTGGCAGAGGCGCAGAATGCCGCAGGAGTCAAGTCCTCCTGCTCCCGCCTCAGCACCAAGCAGTGTGACAGCTACCCGTGTAAGAACAACGCAGTCTGCAAGGATGGCTGGAACCGCTTCATCTGTGACTGCACTGGCACTGGCTATTGGGGTAGAACATGTGAGCGAGGTAAGCTGGGTTTTCTGACCTCAGTTATACAGAGCTGAAGGTGTGCACAAACTAGAACTAGAGCA